GATTTTTTAAAAAAACAATTGCATGAATAAGTAATACAAGAATCCTCGATTTTCTTTCTCAAACGGAAAACAGTTTTAGCACAGATCACAAATCTTTTTGAATAATCCTGTGAATCGTGATATTAAAATGTTGATCTCTTGAATGTTTCCATTTCAGGCACATCAAAATCTCATTTTGCACACCTTTTCCTTTATAAATTTTGTCACCAGTTCCTTCATTTCAAGTGCTGATGCTTCAGCATGTTCGATTGATGTAGTTGCCAGACCAAGTCATCTCCTTTGCAGTCTTGTTGAGCATATGGATGCTTTTATAAGTTTGAGCTTTGAGAAACTGCGTTCACCACTTGCCACTGACATTGGAAGTGTGAGAAGGATCCATAGGGAAACTGAAACATTTTCTAGACTACTCAGGGTTTTTTGTAGCCGTATAAAGAGAAGTACTTCTTGTGGTGGCATAGGCTTTGGAAGTCCCAGAACACTGCTACTCCCAGGGGCTGTCATTCCAGTCCCAGAGTAGTCCATTTGGGATAAAGCTTTGTTAGTCTTAATTCAGCTATTGGACTGTAACTTTGTTCTATTGATTCAGAATCACACGGCTGCCCAACTTGATGTATCAGTAGGCTATTGTCATCAGAGTGCAGACTTCGGAATATAATGCCTTTAAACACACTAATTTAAAATTTAATCACACTTTAGAACCACTCTTCATTTGAAATCAACTGGCAAATCCCATCTCCATCAACCATTCCAATGCCCTTCGGACAATGCAAGGCTTAGCATGAGTACTATTCTTCCAACTAAAACGCCTCCTCCATCTTCAGGCTTCTTGATACTCTCAAACTCTACCCCCTCTCTGCCAGACGTTGACAAAGGGGCCGAGATCAAGCAGTATTATATGTTAAATGATCTGATTCACAATAAGGGAGAGCTGTGGTGCAGTCAGCGAAGCTCTCGCACGTTCTGCATTCGATTCTCTGTGGCGCCAAAAAGCTACATTTCCCTTTTTCCATTGACCAGAAGGCCTAAATCCAGAAAGGGTTCTAAGATTGGCGAAATTAGAAAGTTAAAAAATTGGAGCCGAAATGAAGCATCACATTTTTTAAAAAATAGTTTTATTTATGGGGAAAGGTAGCTCGAGGAAACTGATTTAAATATATTGTTTCGCAAAACACAGAAGCAGCAGGCTATCGGTTAATTTCAATTAAACAAAATGAAGGTAAATGATAAAATACACTAATATGATTTTTAGATAATTTTTTTAAAAAGTGTAGTTTGTGGGAACCAAACTTGGAGCATTATGACAAGCTCTGCCATAGCAAAGAAAGCAATCAATGGGTACTTGAGGTAGCCGAGTCATGCCATTTCGTAAGGACTTGGAAGAGGTTGGTAAGCGCTCTGAGTTTTCTTATTAGGGCACCGAAAGTGGGAGTCCCCAAGTCGAGGCTGGCCCTCCTTCCAGGCTTGGCATAGCCTTCTGGGTATGCAAATTAGGTTTTTGGGATGTATATTTCTTTGTTGTATTTTTTCCCTCTGTAGGCCTGCATTCCGTTTCTTTGTGCAACATCCACCTGACCAGAGTTGGGGGAAAAATTTTGTGGGTCTCCCCAGAGGAGTCCATGAACCTACATTCCTTTTCTTTTCACTTAATTTTTTAAATTATTTTTAATATATACAATATAAACAACATTTTCAATATGATGTACAGGTTCAGTGGTACAACCATTAAACATTGTGTAAATAACATAATTCTAGTGCACACTCAGTAAGGAAGGAAGACTGTTAGCATTTGCTCAATAAAATGCAATATCTATATATTTCTTTGGAATAGACCATTTCTTGTTCGGTGATTTTGTAATGCAATCAGACAAGCGGAACCGTTTTTCAAGAAACTTGGGAAGTTTTTGATTGCTGTTAAAGGATACCAGTTGGGTAGCCAATTTATCTGAAACTGCTAAGTCCAACACTTTCATGAACCATTGAGTCAAAGTCGGTGATTTTTTAGATTTCCAATTTTGAGCGATTGTCTTTGCAGCAATAAGGAAAATCAAGAGAAAATCATTTTTGTTACTGAGATAATTAGAAGATGGCCAGTAGTATAACAGTATAGATTCAGGTGTGAAAGGGTTTTCGATATTTAATATTTGTTCAGAGTATCTTACTATTGTTTTCCAAAACGTCATTATTGCAGGGCAGTCCCACCAACAGTGACGAAATGATCCAAGTTGGCCACATCCCTTCCAGCAGTGTGGATTTGGTATTATATGAGTTAAGCGAGTTGGTGTTAGGTACCATCTTGCGTGTAATTTAACGTTCTGTAGCCTAATGTTGAGTACAGGAGTTGATAATACATGGTTGGACTACATTCCTTTTCTTTGCACACCATCCACCTGACCAAAGTTGGAGGGGGGGAAAATGTGGATCTTCCCAGAGGAGTCCCAGCAAAACTGGTTAAAAAAGAACGTTGGGAAAAGGTTGAAAAATTGTTTGAAGATGCCCACTCACACATATCCCGTTTCTGTCTAAAGTTATTATTCTCACATTAACTTTGAATGAATGAATTAAAAAATAAATGGGAAGAGATGGAAGCAGAGGACTCAAACCCGGACTTCTCCAATTACCAGGCTGGAGTATTTCCTTTAAGCTAAGGGCAGCTCCCATAAATTTGCTTGAAGAGAAGTGATAGGAATGGTGGTGGCAACAGAACAGTGTGCTGTATGGTGCATATAAAAAGGGATGCTGAGTAATGGATAAGTGAGCTTCCCTGACATGTTAGTTTTGCTGTTGTGTCCCTGCTGAAACGTTTTGAGCCTGATGTAACTTGACAGTATATTTCAAAGACCATGCATTGAAAAGCTAAGCAGAAAACAGGAATAGGTGGGGAAATTGCTTTAAGGTATACTCCCATGGCACAATTTGTAGTCTAAATCTATTTTTCTAACATTACAGTCAGGGGTCATTTCGTAGAAAAAGAGCTAGGGGAACTCATTAGCATAACTCATTAGCATATGCCACACACCTTGACATCAGAGGCCCAGCGGTGGACCTGCAAGGCCAGCGGGAGTGCGAGGAAGCCCCACCAAGGCCCTCCCTGACCCCAGGCAGGCAGGGGTGGGGAGAGGCAGGGAGGAAGCAACTTACCCTCCCTCTTCTCCTGCCTCCTCCTGGCTGAATGAGGGCCGGAAGCTGGGCGGCCGGAAGCAGGGGGCGGGGCTTCGTCATGCGCCCCGCCCCCCTTCACCTCCCCCGGGGGGAACTGCGATCCCCCGCGATCCCCCCCGAAATGACCTCTGATTACAGTTGTTGTTCAGTCGCACAGTCGAGTCCGACTCTTCGCGACCCCATTACAGTGGGAAGAGTGAAATAAAAATAAATGAGGAAAAATGGGGTAGCAGGTAGGCTTGCCAGCCTCCAGGTGGGTCAAACAACAAATATATACACTGCAAAAAACCATTTTTATAAGTTAAAGTGTTCTATATGTTCCATCTTATAAAGTGCATTGTGTATTCATAATATTCTAAAACAGGTATATATTCATTACATGCAATATCAACAACGGAGCTCGGGAACCTCTTCGACAAAATTCTTCAAAAATGTTTAAAAGCTCATGAGTTTCCAGGATACAGAGTGAGAGCTCTGAGAGTTCCAGCACCTCTGCTTTTTAAAAACAAAATCCCTGGCAGGGGGACTTGGATGCCAGTGTTAGTGCTCCGTGGCTGGGTGGCAGATTCTGAGAAATGTGCATTTTCATTGGGGGGAGGGGGGGCCTCGCGGAAGGAAGGCAGCACATTAAGTGAGGCACAGGAGGCAATTCCAATGCCTACGGCCATACCACCCTGAACACGCCCGATCTCGTCTGATCTCGGAAGCTAAGCAGGGTCGGGCCTGGTTAGTACTTGGATGGGAGACCGCCTGGGAATACCGGGTGCTGTAGGCTTTTTGCCCTGCTGGAGTCGCTGTGGCCGCTCTCTGCAAGCTCTCTTTTTCCTCCCTCCCACCATCAGGCAGTGTGCCGCAGCTGAAGGGAAGGAAAACGTTCAATTCCACACCCAAAGCATAGGCGTAATCTTCGTGGGGGCGGCGGGGCTTCAGCCCCCGCCGAAATTTTCAGGAAGGTGCTCAGCCTCCCCCGGGAGCCACCCTTGCTCCTAGCAAAGCAATGCCTCTGGCCCAGCCCCAGCCTTAGGAAGCTGGACTGGGTTTCCACTGCCAGGCCACAGGGGCCAAGGCCCTCTGCTGCAGCAGGCCTTTCTGCAGATGCCTGGAGGCACGTGGGGACCTTCCGGAGCTTAACGGACCTTGGGAGGAAAGAAAAACAGAGAAGCAGCATTAGACACAGAAAGTATTCCTTTGCCCTGTATGTAGTTCTTTCTTCCCTTTGAAGCCCAGCCCTTTGTCTCCAGTGGGACCCCGAGTGGCTTACCTGGTGCTGCTGTCCTCCATTTAATCCTGACAACAACTCTCTCAAGCATATCTGGCTGAGTGTGTGAGACTGGCAATCCTGTCACCAGCAATCTTCCCTGGCCCGGGGTGTAGGCTGAGCTCGTGTCTGAGGGAGGGTGGTGATGCAAAGACCTATCGCTCTAAGCCAAAACCTGCTTTGGTTTGGTTGTGAGAGTTATGCCTCCGTTCTTGTAAAGAGTGCCAGCTGGATCAAGGTGGGTCAGTGCTGCTGTTTTTACCTGATCTTACGACCGCATTCAACAGTCAATTATGATCTCTTGACCACTGCCTCACCGACGCGTGTATTCATGGGGTAGCCTTGCAATGGCTTTCCTCATTTCTCCATGGTCGGGGACAGAGGGTAGCGCTGGGGGGAGAGAAGTCTTCTAGGTACCCATTATTACGCAAGGTTCCTCAAGGAGCAGTCCTTTCCCCGTTGTTGTTCAACATCTATATACGCCCCCTTGCCCAACTGGCTCAGAGTTTCAGGCTTGGGTGGCAGTGGCACCAATATACAGATGACACCCTGCTGTATCTGCTCTTTTTTAAAATTATTTTTATTAATTTTTTCTCAAACGTAAGTAATAGTCAGTAGTATTAAACTTACAGAACAGCATAAACTGCATACCATAGTTTGTAAAACAATATAGTACTAGTATTTTTACTTTGTTGTCAACAAACTCAATTTAGTACCTATAACCCTTGTGTTTAGGTAAATATAAAAATGAGCTAATGCAAAGAAGTAATAGCGTGTGTCCCATTCAATTATATCATAACAATGTCACAATTGGCATTGCAGTATGGTCAAAGAGGTAAAGTTTAGTAGTCTAGTAATTTTAAGTATAAAGAGTTTTGGGGTTGAGAATCCGAAGCTGAGATATATTCCATGAATGGGGTCCATTTCTCCGTAAAATTGAATGATCTAGGACTGATGTCTGATTGAAGTAAACGGTCAGTGATTTTTTCTAATATAAGGTGATCCCAAACTTTGTTTAGCCAGTTGGTATGTGTTGGAGCCTTGTCTGATTTCCATTTAGAGGCTATCAATGTTTTAGCAGCCACTATGAGGCTAGTGATCAAATCGCGACTGAACGTTGGTATATTTTTTTATTTCCAGATGCCCAAAAAGATTAGAGTTGGATCGAATAGTACTTCGTAACCTGTCTGATGCTTCTACACTGCCACCAACAGTGGGCAAATATTCCCACTTCTCCACATCTTTTCCAACATTGAGGGGAATGAGAAGACGTTATTTTTGAAAGCTTCTCTGGTGTGAGGTACCACCTGGTGATGATCTTGTATGGCTGTAATTTTGTTGATATGACTGGCAAGTTCATTAACTTGGAGGTCCAGATTTGTGACCACTGTTGTCCTGTGATGTTAGTCTCACAATCTTGTTGCCACTTGTGCTGGTGTCTCATTAGTTTATTTCAACCTTGGCAGATCAAAATGTCATATGTTGCCGTGATCAGTCCTTTGGAATTTTTGTTGTCTGTTCCAATGAGCTTTTCAAAAGGAGTGAGAGGTTCTTTTATTATTGCCGATATACCAAGATGTTGAATCATTTGATTTAGTTGGAGATAGAAAAACCATGGGATGTTTTCTTCTAATTTTTGCTCCAGAGACAACTTAGACTTCAAACCATCTTTGGTTAAAATGTTTATTAAGCTAGACATGTTTGCTCGTCTCCAGATATGGACCAAACCTTTATCATTTCCGGGGGGAAACCAGGATTGGAAAAGGAAGGAGGTGAATCTGGAATACTTTGGGACTAGAATTGATCTGCAGGCGTCCCAGTTCTTCAGGATAGCTACTAGAATCAAATTGTTATTGATTGATTCTGGACGAGTACTGGAAGTAGTCCATATTGCCTCCTGTATCGTGACTGGGGATACGAGAGGAACCAGTGGCTTGACCCAATCGAGCTGATCCCCACTTCGCAACATCGTGATTATGGGTATCAGCTGAGTTGTCTTGTAAATATATCATTAGGTCCAGATAGTTTAGACCTCCTTGTGTTCTGTATCTGCTCTTGAACAGGCACCTGGATAAGTCCCTATAACAACATGCTGTGGATTTGGAGGCCTTGGTGGGATGGCTAAGGAAGAGAAGGCTGAGACTGAATCTGGGGAAGACTTTCAAGGCCATGTACCTTTGGGACGGTCTCCTCCAATATTTCCCCAGAAGAATGCTGAGATCGGCTGATAACAACTTACTGGTGAGGTCTAGGGAGCTCCTGTTGTCCTCAACTAGGGCCAAGGCCTTCTCAGCCCTGGCCCCAACCTGGTGGAACTCTCTGCCGAATGACATCAGGGCCCAGAGGGATCTGATGCAATTCCGCAGGTCCTATAAGGCAGAAATGTCCCGCCAGGCTTTTAGTTGAGGGCAACAAGGGGTTAAGACTGGACCCTCTCTCTTTTCTTCTGTGGCCCCCAAATACCTTTCCCAGTGTAGTTAACAAAGGAGGATTACTTTCTTGCCATCCTGATTGGTGTAACTTTTTATTTATTGTCAGAAATTTTGATTATATATTACTTGTATTTTTATTCTCTATAATGTCGTAAACCACCCAGCACCTGTTTGTAGGGTGGGCGATTGATAAGTTCAATAAAATAAACAAAATAATAATAAATAAGACATCTCTGTAAAACAGAGATGTTCCGCCAGGCCTATGGTTGAGGCAGTGGAGATCTATTAGTAGCAGCCTCCCCCCCCCCCGCCCGTTTCTATCTTATATTGTTCCTACTCGTTTGCCCACCTCCCCGTTGTATCAGTTACCATCTATTGTACTCACATGTGGTGCTGACTCAGGAACAGTGGTATTAAATGGCGCCATAAATGATGTTATATCTGGATTTTAATAACTGTTGATATTATATTTAAATCACTGTATTTTTTATCATATTGCTAGTGCACACTCAGTTGTAATTTGTAAGGAAGGAAGACTGTTAGCATTTGCTCAATAAAATGCAGTATCTATATATTTCTTTGGAAGAGTCCATTTCTTGTTCGGTGATTTTGTAATGTAATCAAACAAGGGGAACCGTTTTTCAAGAAACTTGGGAAGTTTTTGATTGCTGTTAAAGGATACCAGTTGGGTAGCCAATTTATCTGAAACTGCTAAGTCCAACACTTTCATGAACCAGAGTCAAAGTTGGTGATTTTTTAGATTTCCAATTTTGAGCGATTAGAGTCACTGTATTTTTTTTTATCATATTGCCATAACCCGCCCTGAGCCTTGCGGTGCCGGAGAGGCAAGGCTAGAAATAAATAAATAGATGAATAAATTAATAGTTTTTAATCCGCCCCCCGAAGGCCTCATATCTAACTAAAGCGTCGGAAACACTGAACTAACCGCTGCCTCGTCCGACATCTCCACACCCACGCAAGGAGGCCGAGCGCAGAATCACACGCTGCAGGTTGGAAACCCGCCTCCGCCGCCGCCTCCTCGCCCGGCAGGATGTAAGGCGGGCGCGTGCATACAGTGACCGGCGAGCTGGGATCCAGAAAGCTGCAGCAGCTGGTGAGGAGGGGACGCTGCTAGCCCTGCGCTGAGCTCCCGGCGGGTGGGAGGAAAGAAAGCGGTGGGGCCCCCCTGCATATTCTCTTGGCTTTCTTGTAGCTGGGCCCGGCACGAGTGAAGGGTCGCTCCGGTCCTCGCGGGCACCCCCCCGCCCCCAGGCTTACCCGACGTGGGGAAGAGCGGAACCCAGGGCAAAGGGCGCGGCGGCAGCGGCCGGAGAAACGAGTTGCAGCGCGGCTCATGAGAGGGCGGCGGCGGGGCTGCCGTGACGTGGCGAGTGTTCGCTGTGGCCTGGCGGGTTTATTTGGGGCCCGGCGGATGTGGAGTGTTTTCGGTTGCTGTACCGCTTTCCAGGTATGCCGCCCGCCGCCCCCCTCCCCGATGCTTGGAGAGGGAAAATGTCGGAAAGACATGTTTAATATTAACAGTGCAATGCTATGGATACTTCTCCGGGAGTAAGTCTCGAACTAAGTACCAAATTATTCAATGGAGCAACTCCTGGGAAAGCGACCTCGGAACTACTTGCAAAGCCACTGTAACCTGGCTAAGCATAGAACAGTATCAGCGCAGAGCACCATGTACTGCTACATCAGCTCATGGCTGTATGATGGAAGTCCTAGTGACAGGAAACAGATGGGAAAGATTTTAAGAGAACTCACAGAATATGACTCCCAGAGTTCTGCTGTAGTACTGAGGTATACTTTCAAGTCCAAGATCCCAGATGTCTTTCAAATACATTATTCCAGACCTGTCCTTTAAGGGGGGGGGGGGGGGGGGGGGAAGGGTGGAAATCAAATCTGTAAACTTTTCCCCACCACCATGTTAGAAATGGTACGCTCCATGTTTTCTTCTTCAGACTGTTTTTTATCTTTAAAATTAAATGGAATTTACCTGTGTTTTTTTTAAACTGGCTTACAATACTGCAATTAAACAATAACATGGGGTTGTTTTTTTCCTGAACAGGCTTCTTTCTAGTAAGGAGCAAATATCGTGGTTCTAAGTTAGAAGATGTACTAGTATTTAAGATTGAACAGAATAATGATGCTGGCTGGGTCTGGCAGATTTGTTTTTGTGTTTTTTTACATGGAAAGTAGCCATGTACTGAATCAAACCACTGTATGCTTTAGGTTGATCCTTCATTGAGCAGGGGGCTGGAGTAGAGTGATGTGTATGGCCCCTTCCAACTCTAATTCTATGAAACCGTTGGTCTATCAAGGTCAGTGTTGCCTATTCTGACAGGCAATGGCTCAGGGACTGAACCTGGGACCTTCTGCGTGCAAAGCAAATTCTCTGCCACCAAGCCACAAGCGTACCCCATTGTTGTTTAGTTGCAAGTTTCAATGTGAACTGATTTAATTGATGCTTCGATGCCCTTGCATCTTTTTCTGGACTGGCTTGGGGCCACCTTTGGGGGAAAGGCAGGATACAAATATTTTAAGGAAATAGTCTGGAAGAGATGGCAAAGCCTCTTGGTTGCTGTGTCTCCACCTACATCATTTCCTGGTTCTAGTTTCTCTCACCAATAGGCTGAAATAAGGTTTGGGATGAGAGGGTGGGAACATAGTGGGACTTTTCACTGTTTGATTGCCTCTGTCCCGTTCCCCGCCCCGCAGCCTTCCTCCAGCTTCTGCCTCACACTATGGCAGCCCTTCTGAAGAGCCTGCTTGCTGCCTCGGAGAAAGCTGCCAACATTGCCCAGCTGTGTCGCCAGGAGGAAGCGCTCTTCAGCTTGCTCATTGAGGAGAAGCGGGGCGCAGACAAGAACAAAAAGTTTCTACAGGATTTCAAGACCTTGGCAGATGTGCTGATCCAAGAGGTCATCAAGCATGATGTGGGGAAGGAGGTAATCTGCCAGGCAAAGGGACCCTAGGGGAAAGAATAAGGCATTCTCTGGCAATTCTAGGCCAGAGGTATCACGAATCTTTTTGCATGCTCTGAAGCCAGAGTGGTTGCTCCCTACAATTTCCCTTTCCCTCAACTGCACTAACGTATTGACTGAGGTTACTCCATAGGAAGAAGCAGTCATGGACAAAACGTTTTGCTACTAGAAAGGTAGAAAAAACCCAAGTGGAGCCGTTGCATCTACTTTGCATGCAGAAGGTTCCCCACATTCAATCCCCAGCATCAACAATTAAAAGGGTCTGGTAGGAGGTGATGGGAATGACTTTTGCCTGCAGCACTGGAGAACTGATGCCAGTCAAAGCAGATGTTACTGGCATTGATAGACCAAGGGCCTGATTTCAGTGTAGGGCAGCTTTCTGTACCCATGATCCCTTGTGGGTAGGAGTACTATTACTTTATCACAGAGGCAGCTGCCTGCTATTTCTCTGTGTTATTCACTTATCATTTACATAGTACATTAAAAGTTCTTAACGTACATTATTTCAGTAATCCTTACAACAACCCTATAAGGAAGAGGCCAGTATTATAGCCGTATTTCAAATGAGGGTATTGGTTGTGTAAGGGAGGTTTGGCTAACATGACATTGTACATTCTTTTTTTTTCTTTCAAAAAGATTTTTATTTTCATAGAGATATCAACATGTTATCAATCAATTAATGTTTCATTCTCAACCTCATACCCATATCCCATTTTACCCCCCCCTCCCAGTGGCTTCCCGCAATGTTTCCCCCTTCGTCACTCCAGTACATCTTAAGATAACATCATAGTCTAGATTCAATATTGTTCCAAGTATAGTAAATTATGTTTCACATCCCAGTTCTTTTCTAGGTAATTTTTAAAGTCCCTCCATTCTTCATAGAATTCCTGATCTTCTTTATCATTCAGTTTCTTTGTGATTTTATCCATCTCTGCCATAAACAAAGTTTTTTGTATCCATTCTTCTAATTCTGGAATTCTTTCTTGTTTCCAACACTGTGCGTATAGCATTCTCGCAGTTGTAATCAAATACCAAAATAGAGTCCTTTTAGTAACATTTAATTCTTCCATTTTAAGTCCTAAGAGCAGAATTTCTGGTGCTTTCTTAAAGGAACATTTCAAAATCTTTTGCATTTCACTGTGGACCTTTGTCCGAAAGTCCACAGCTTTTTCACATGTCCACCACATATGATAAAATGAACCTTCATGTTTTCTACATTTCCAACACTTATTAGAAAATTTTTGATTCATGTTAGCTATTTTCTTTGGTGTCATATACCACCTGTACATCATTTTATAACAGTTCTCTTTCACATTAGTACAGGTTGAAATCTTAATCGAGTTCTTCCACAGATATTCCCATGAGTCCATAGAGATCTCAGCATTAACATTTACTGCCGACATTGTACATTCTTGATAGAAGTGAGATTTGACTTGGAGATATTGGTTCACGCCTCAGTCTCTTAAGTGCATCAAAGTGCTGATTGTACATAGATTTGCTGCCCTCAGGTTGTGGAGTAGAGAACTGGATCTAGTCACGCACAGAAGAGTGCAAATTGGCATAAATTTTGTAGAAGAATAAAGAAGACAGACTCTTATTTTATAGTAATTAAACTATGCAGATATATTAAAGGGGAAATGTAAATATTGTTTGTCAAAAAGCTACCCACACTGAACAAGCCTAGAGAAAAGCAGCTGGCAGCCTCAGATCTCTGTCTAATTCTCAGTGGATTCCCCTTTCTCCATCCCAGTATACACCCCTCAGCCATGGCGAAGGGGATTTCAGGCTTGATTTCTAGGTGATGCTGGCTGAAACAAAACACTCCTCCATGGGATTGTGCATGTCTTCTTTAAACCAGGCTGCTACTGGTGCAAAACATGCCAGTTAACATGCCAGTCGGCCATAGCCTTGGTAGATGTGCTGGTGTGTTAAATGATTTCTGCTTGGCACAGATAGTGTATGTTTGTGTGAAGTGCCATTAAGTCACTTCCAACTTATGGCAATCTTTTTTAGGTGCATAACCAGTTTCTTCCTGGACACTTGCATAAAACCTTTCAAATTCTTCCTCATCAGCATCTATAGTTGAGGTGTAAACTTCAGTGATGGTTAAGTTGATAGGTTCTCCACGGTCTGATATTATTCGATAAGACCTTGCACTATAGCCTTTGACTGCTTGTGCTACATCTTGCCTCTCTATTAGAGCAACTGTGTTTCTTCAGTATTTGTCATTTCCAGAGTAAAACACTTTATAATTTTCTGACTGAAAATGTTCTAGTCCAGTCCACTTTAGTTCACTCACTCCCAGGATTGCAGTGTTTAAACGTTCCATTTCTCATTTTATGTTTTCCAGTTTACCCTGATTCATACTTCTCACATTCCATGTTCCTGTTATATGTATTAAAAAGCTTTGGACTTTCCTTTTGCATCCATTCACACCAGCAATGGATAGTGGCCCAGTTTAACTCTGCAAAGTCCCGTGGGTGAGTGCCCTTGCCTCAGCCAGGGCTGTGTTTAAAGCAAGCCTTCCCTTCAAGCCCTTGCAAACAGCAGCAGAGGATCTGGAAAAGTTCTCCTTTTCTACGCATTTGCTGCTCCAGTTTATTTGCTTATTAAGTATATTTGTATTGTGCTTTTCTCCCCAATGATTATCCATTGTGGCTAACAGTGGGGAGAAAAAACAAATACGGCAATAAACAGGAAAGTGGGGGGGCGGCTTCCAGTTCCTAAGTGGGTCTTCTCCCTCTAGGTCAGGGGTGGCCAAACTTGCTTAACGTAAGAGCCACACAGAATAAACGTCAGATGTTTGAGAGCTGCAAGACATGAACAAATATTAGAGACATGTTTTATTGGAAAATATGCAAATTAGCTTTTTATTAACATTAAATGAGACTGCCGAAAATAAAAACAAGAGGGATAAAAATAGATATTGATAATGATATTTATTTGTCCAATGGTATTTGTAGGCTGGGGGGGGGCTTTGAAAATGAATTTAAAGCTAAAGTTGCTTTCTTTCTCTGCTCCCCCCTGCCTCAAGCCTACCCAGGAAGGGGAACACCGGCTGGGGAAAGGAAGACTGATCGGGGAGGCATGCCTCTCCTTTGCTTCCCCAGCTGCCTTGCCAGGAGCCACACAATATGTGTGAGAGAGCCGCATGTGACCCCCGAGCTGCAGTTTGGCCACCCCTGCTCTAAGAGCTACTCTTCTGTCCAGCTGTAGTCTGCAAGCCTCATGCTGAGAACCTGAGGGCTCGTGCCTCTGAGCACACCCAGGCCTCAAATACCTGCAAGGTGAAATGCCATTACCATTAGGATACACAAAAGGGACGTTAAAAACTTCAAAAAAAAAGAACAGAAAACATTAAAAACAGATTAAAAAACACAAACCCATTCACTATGTATGATCAAAACAGATCAGCTTTTAGACACAGCTCTAGCCCATATTTTTTAGGTTGCCAAGGTGAATTGTGCCACTCTCTAAGAAACATACTGATCCAAATTAGAAAGAAGGAAAACTAGTTTCTCCACCAGGGAAGAATTTATACCCTTTAAAATATCAGCAAGAAATTTATTTCTGGGCTCTATGTACAAAGAGCAAAATGAAACAAAAATGTTCATAGTAATTTAGAAAGGCTTTGAGGGCCCTATCCTCATCAGGCCTGCAGAATGGCAGGTGAGGCGCTCTTGTCCCTCCCAGTGGCAAAATGCCCCGCCCCCTCCGTGGCTGTTTCAGCATTTGAAAAGGCGTAGGGGGGCAAGAGTGTCACTCTGCAGACCCTATCAGGATCCAGTCCTTGGGATTTTTAAATGGCAGCAGCATTCTTGTGTTGACCACAAGGATGCTGTCATGTCTAGTTTGGCCATTAGCTAGCTGCTGCTAGCTACCAGGATCTTCCCTATCTCCTCCCCAGTCAGTTTGATTGTTTCCCAGTTTGTTTCTCACTCACAGCTGCTTGTCCCTTTAATAGATGCTCAGTGGGACGTATAACTCTTTGCCATGACAAGCTTCTGCTGTCCATTTTTATGCATTAAGTCTCTGTTAAAGGGACAGGAGGGCCGTGGTGGCTCAGAGGTTAAGATGCTGAGCTGCTGACCAAAAGGTCTGTAGCTCAGCAGTTCGAGACCCAAGTGCTGTGTGACCAGGTGGTACCTGACACCTCAACAGCTCAATAAAATAGATCCAAACAACAGCCCCCTATGCTGGAAAGCATGTGGGCATGAGGCCTCGTACCTGCACTGCTGGTGGAGCTGCCCCAAGATCGCACGGTTTTGGAGGGAAGTAGGAGAACAGATTAGAGATACCACAGCAGTAAATATCCCCTTCAGTCCGGAAACCTTTTTCCTAAATCACTGGGACGACTCAATTGATGATGACAGGAAAACAATACTAGCAACTCTTCTGGCTACTGCGCGCTTGACAATTACAGCAACATGGAAATCTCCCTTCGTTCCATTAGTCTCTGGGTGGCAAGTCTGAAACAACTGCAACACATCACTCCAAGTTTGAGTTAACCTGGCTTCCAGTTGTCTCCTTTATGCGAACTCAGAATGTAATCCCGGCCAACCCAATATTCCACAAATGGCTATTTCCTCATAACTAGTTCTGCTACACCTATGTATAATGGGGCCCACAGTTCACTATGCTCTCTTGACCTAATACTACAGTGATGCCTGTGATACAGTGCTCAATGGACTGTGATTTAATCCTCTTATGTACCCACTGTTTATGTCAACGCACTCTTACTAAACTGCATTGATTGGTGCTCTGAATGTAATTTTATAAAATTTCAAGTAGATAAATAGGTACCACTTCGGTGGGAAGGTAACAGTGTTTCGTGCGCCTTGGCATTTAGTCATGCCAGCCACATGACCATGGAGAAATCTTCGGACTGCGCTGGCTCTTCATCTTAGAAATGGAGATGCACACTGCCCCCTAGAGTCGGATTCAACTGGCTTTCAAGCCAGGAAAACCTTTACCTTTTTAAAGGAACAGGACACTTTTCTCCAAACCTGTTGGCAACCCCACTCACAAGGTTGAGCAGCCAAGGAACAGAAAGGGGCAACTCTGACAGCCTCTGTTGCTGTTCACGCACACTGGGGAGGAGTAGTCCACTTGGGCAGCCTGAATATACAACAAAGGCAGCCCTCTTTTTTCCTCTCCTCCCCAGTGGAACAAAAAAGAACCATTTGCCTTGTATGCGATTGAGTCCCTGAACTGCAAAAGTGCTGCTGGCTCTTCAGCCCTTCATTAATTCCAAATTAACTGCCAGGGGCCTAGATTTTATGGTTGGGATTTATTTAACCCACAGATGGGATGGGGCAGTTGCAAGTTGTGAGCTCGGAACAGTTGTGGCTTGGGTCAAACTAATCAGCATGATTGTTTTTTCCTCTTCCATCTTTTCTACCACCCGTTGATGCCACCATCAGTTTCCAGAGTTACAAGGTTATATTCGTGGTGAGGAGTCCAACAAATTTGAAAATGGCCTTGGTGAGTGACAGGGGCCCTGAAGTGTTGGTGGGGAGGGGAGAGAAACATCAGTCAGGCCTCCACTGAATCCTTGACCATCTGTCTCAAACTCCTAGCTGATTTTGCTAGATCAGCTGTTGATTCATGTTTCTTCTGTTGCATATTCTGGTGTAACCTGTGTTTGAAATAATCTTCCTTTTCCATTTCACAGACCACTTCCTTCTCCTGCAAACCCCACTTCTTCCACAGAAGTTTTCCTAAACTGCACTATGTTTACTGTGTCTAATATTCCCTTGCTCCACTGTTGTTTCTTTCCAAAACATCTACCTTAAGGGACCACTTTCCTGATCAACTTGTCTGCCAGGGAACTCCTACCCCTTCCAAGGGATTCTAGGTGAAGGTTTTAGAGAGTACTGTCTGTTCAGACAGGAGATTAGCTAGGCTTCACATTTGTCCCATGTGAGTTGAATGTGTGCCATTGAACACACCTCGATGAGTTTGTACATTTCAAGGAAAGATTGGTAGAGGTGGGGAAGATGGTCTCTCAGGAAACTGTCTGAGTTACTATTTTTCCCCTTCAGGAACTCCTGGTAATCTTACCTGGAAAACATTTTGGAAACCATCCCCCTGCTAGTTATTTCTTTGTTCTGCTTCTCTGTCTAAGATTATTTTCTATCCCGTGAGGACTGTGAGTGCTCTGACAGAGCAGTCCTATGCAGACTTACTTTAGTCTACTAAACCCATTGCAATCAGTAGGTCTAAACTGGAGTAAATTTGAATAGGATTGCATTGTCAGTAGTTGTATTTACTTGTTGTATTTTTTGCCAAATCAGTCTGAATGCTAATTTTATCTACATATCTCATAATCATCAATATGTTGAATGTTTTAAGGGTCACTGGTCCCCATAGAAGTCTGTGTGTCCAATAAAATTGCCAGAAAAGACCCTGGTCCGTACATTCTCTATAAGAACTGTAAGATCTTCTGCTGCCCTATATTATGTCTTTAAAAGGCTTTCTGTTCTTATGGAACAGAAAGCTGTTCCTGAAAGTGTTCCTGTGGAACAAAAAGCTGTTCCTAAAAGTGTATGTTGCTTGTATTGATGGCTAATTCACTTTTCTGTTGTATCTTGTTTATTGGTCCCAGTCCAGAAAAACTTAAGAACATAAGAGAAGCCAATGTTGGATCAGGTCAGTGGCCCATCTAGTTCAACACTCTGTCACACAGTGGCCAAAAATACCAGGTGCCATTAGGAGGTCCAGCAGTGGGCCCAGGAGACTAGAAGCCCTCCCACAGTTGCCCCCCCCCCCAGCACCAAGAATACAGAGCATCGCTTGCCCCAGAGTGAGAGTTCCTATCTATACCTTGTGGCTAATAGCCACTGATGGACTTCTGCTTCATATGCTTATCTAATTCCCTCTTGAAGCTGTTCATGCTTGTAACCACCGCCACCTCTTGTGGCTGTGAATTCAATGTGTTAATCACTCTTTGGGTGAAGAAGTACTTCCTTTTATCTGTTCTAACCTGACTGCTCAGCAGTTTCATTGAGTGCCCACGAGTTCTTGTATTGTGAGAAAGGGAGAAAAGTACTTCTTTCTCTACCTGCTCTATCCTATGCATAATCTTATAAACCTCAATCATGTCACCCCTCAGCCATCATTTCTCCAAGCTAAAGAGCCCCAAGTGTTTTAACCTTTCTTCATAAGGAAAGTGTTCCAACCCTTTTATCATTCTAGTTGCCCCTTTCTGCACTTTTTCCAATGCTATAATATCCTTTTTGAGGTGTGGTGACAAGAACTGTACACAGTACTCCAAATGAGGTCACACCATTGATTTATACAGGGGCATTATGATACTGGCTGATTTGTTTTCAGATCCCTTCCTAATAATCCTGAGCATAGCATTGGCCTTTTTTATTGCAGTCACACACTTTCTTGACATTTTCATTGAGTTATCTACTTTGACTGCAAGATCTCTCTCTTGGCCAGTCTCTGCCAGTTTGGACCCCATCAATGTGTATTTGTAGTTAGGATTTTTTGTTCCAATGTGCATCACTTTGCACTTGGCCACATTGAACCACATTTGCCACATTGACGCCCACTTGCCCATCCTCGACAGATCCCTTTGGAGTGCCTCACAATCCTCCCTGGTTCTCACCACCCTGAACAACTTCATGTCATCTGCAAATTTAGCCACTTCACTGCTTACTCCCAACTCCAAATAATTAATAAACAAGTTAAAAAGCATTGGACCGAGTACTGATCCCTGTGGTACCCCCACTGCTTACCACCCTCCACTGAAAAAATTGCCCATTTATATTCACTCTCTGTTTCCTACTAATTAGCCAGTTTTTGATTCACAAGAGGACTTGTCCTTTTATCCTGTGACTATTGAGCTTACTTAGGAGCCTTTGATGAGGAACTGTATCAAAAGCTTTCTGGAAGTCAAGGTAAACAACATCTATTGGGTCCCCCTTGTCTACATGTTTGTTCACTCTCTTAAAAAACACTAACAGGTTAGTGAGACAAGATCTTCCCTTACAGAACCCATGCTGAGTCTGCCTCAATAGTTTTTGTTCATCTATGTGCCTATTAATTCTTTCCTTAATAACAGTTTCTACCAACTTACCCAGTATCGATGTCAGACTGACTGGCCTGTAATTTCCCGGATCTCCTCTGGAACCCTTTTTAAAGATGGGAGTGACATTAGCTCCCTTCCAGTCCTCAGGAATGGAGGCAGATTTTAATGAAAGATTACATATTTTTGTCAGGAGATCCAGAACTTGGTCAAGCTACTGTCCTGTTGAAATTAGTGGGACTTGACTTGCAATTAGTTTGCCCTCTATTGATTTCAGTGGAACTTAGACACAACTAAATCCAAAACCAGAAGAGTAATACAACCAAAACATTACAAAATGTAAACAAGCTTTTATGTCCCTTAGAAGACTCTTTAAACCATATGGTAAGCAATTATATCAAAATGTTTGCAGGAAGAGAAAGTTTGGGGGCATAATAAGAAAGCACAAGTCTTTAGAATGAAACATAGGTGTTACATGCTACTGGGACAGAGACATGGTAGCAGCTCTTCCATATATATATATATGGGTCATTTCGTAGAAAAAGAGGTGCAGCAACTCATTAGCATAACTTATTTGCATATGCCACACCCCCTGACATCACCAGAAGTGTGTCAGAAGGCAACACCCACCGCTCAGGCTCCACTGGACTGTTTTGGATTGCTAGCTATTGGGGGAGGGGGGAGTGCAGATCTGTCCTCACAGAGGAGGGAGAGCTTGTACCTGAATAAAACTTGGTCTTAAAGGTGCCACTGGACTGTTTGGGGCTGGGGGGAGCTCTGCAACTTACCTGGCTGCTTCTTGCTCTGATTGAGGGCTGCTGGGAGCAGGGGATGGGGCTTGTTGTGCCCCACCCCCTGGGGTCCTTACTGCGCGAGCTCCGCTCCTGTGCGCTCCTGCAGAAAATGACCCCTGTATTATATATATATATATATATATATATATGAAATTTGGGGAGAGCACTCCTACCATGACGTAGATGCTCACTCACTAAGAAGGGATTTTTAGAAATTTGACCTGTAAGGGGGGCAAAAGGGGTATAATGTGTTCCCCCTATTGCTTCCTATGTGGTTGCCTGGCTGCTGTCTCCTTGCACCCCCCACTCTCTGATTGGTCAGCTGCAGAGCTCAGTGTTCTGAGGTAAAAACAAAAACTAGTCACAGGAGACTGCAGAGACCTAACAACAGTTGAGGAAATAAGGAATGGTCAACCACCTGTATGGTGCAGCAGTGCTGCTGGCCCAGCCTTCCCCATGGCTTCAAACATGCTCCCCCCACCTCCTACACCTGACAGGCAGCTGTCTGTCAGGTGCAGCAGCAGATGCAGGGTGCTTAAAGCCATCAGGGAGCCTGCCCCAGCAGTAACGCCTTAGCAATCCTGCTGGCTCAGCCTTCACAATGGCTTGCAATACACTGCCCCCTCCCCTTCTACACTGGCCAGGCAGCTGCCCGCCCGGTTTAGATGAGGAGGCTTGCTCAGCAGGACTGCCTTAGCACTGCTGCTGGCCCAGCCTCCCTGATGGCTTTAAGCAACCTGCATCTGCTGCTGCACCTGACAGACAGCTGCCTGTGAGGTGTAGGAACAGGGCCAGGGTACTTTAATCCATCAGGGAGGCTACCCAAGCAGTGCTGCTGGGCCAGCCTTCCCAAAGGCTTTAGACACACTCCCACCCACCCCTCCGCCAACTGACAGGCAGTTGTCTGTCAGGTGCAGGGGCAGAGCATTGATAGCCATTGGGGAGGCTACCCAAGCAGCATCGCCTTAGCAATCCTGTTGGTGCAGCCTCCCCAATGCCTTCAGACACGTTACCCCTCCTACACCTGACAAATAACTGCCTGTCAAGGATTGGAAGGGGCATGTAGTCCTTAAAGCCATCAGGGAGGCTTGCTAAGCAGAATTGCCTTAGCACTGCTGCTGGCCCAGCCTCCCTGATGCCTTTAAACACAATCCCCCCCTTATACCAGACAGGCGGGTTTTTGTCAGGTGTAGGAGCAGGACCAGGGGACTTTAATCCATCAGGGAGGCTGCCCCATCAGAATTACCTATGACCATCAACAAGTCCCAAGACTTAACAGATGACCAGAGTTCCCTCTAAGCTGAGTTAGTGTGAACTAGCTCACAGTTTTTTAGCCTCCAACTCACAGATTTTTGTCTTGGCTCAGGAAGGATGGCTCCAGAGCAAACTAATTTATGCAGCAGCCAAATCGCTTGCTCACAACTTTAATACCAGTAGCTTAAAAAGTAGAATTTTTGCTCACAAGACTCCACATCTTAGAGGGAGCATTGTAGACGTCTGCTTCTCACATGGACATTTCTATGTGGCCTGCTCCAGAGTCAGCTCACCAAGCAGCCTGGTAATTCTAGCACCTGAGGGCAGAACCACCAATGTGGTCTACAGAGAGGTCCTTCAGCAGAGAAAAACCCCCAGAACATATGTCTCACTTCATTTTTTACACTACAGTCTTCTCCATTAGAATTTCTACAACAAATGTTCAATCATCAGTATTATAACTGGATTTATGGAATTTAAATACCATAGTGAAGCACAGGCATCAGGCTAGTTGAAAATATAAGAACCGACAGTAGTTTGAATTTTGGAGATTACTGGTTCTTCGTAAGGCAAAGTGCAAATGGCAGTCCTCATATTAGCAAAGATGCAAACTAGCATTTGGTGGTATACTAGCTGCAGAATCAACAAGGCTAAATTTGGTTGGGTTGCCTGTGATGATGAAGTTGGTATCACCAAGCAGGCATGGAGTATGTGTACTGGGATGATATAAAATCACCAGTTTGGAAGAAGGGATGAGTGTCCTTTCTTAAAATTCATCTTAAGACGCAGTTTGGCAGTAATCTTCAGCCTTTCCAGTATGTGCACAACATGATTTGTGAAACAGACGGAAACTCATTGTTTCTTTGCAGCAAAATTGTCAGCGTTTTTTTAAACCACACATTAATTACAATTTCCTAGGTCAAGGTCAAATAGAGTTCATGTCTAACTTACCACCCCTGGTTTCACATTTCCGGCTTAGGACAAGAAGAGACATCCACTTTCATAGTCTAGAAGTTTTCCAGAGTATTGAAATTTGTTTGCTTTTTAGGAGAGACTGTGGTGGTGCAGGTATGTCCCACCCAGCCAGAAACAGCTGCACTGCTGCAGAAAGTCCTGGATCGGAACCAGACAGCTGCAGAACTGCTGGCAGCTGCTGTTCACCAGGTGATGGTGCTTTCTGACCCAGCATTGGATGATGTGACTGTGACAATCTCCACCGAGAATATGGCTGTGTGGATTGACCCCATAGGTAAGGTAATGAAATGAGACAGAAGGAATTACTTTATAACAGGGTGGGCTTCCATACACAGTCACTTCTCTGATGTTTTCTCGTTACTATGAAAACATCTTATTAATCACATAGGCAACAGAGCTTCCGTGAAGGCTTTTCCGCCTCAATTTTTCTTTATTTTCCCCAGCTAAACAGTGATGCATCAACTCCATACTTTCTCCCTGGGGGAAGATGTCACCATGGCGAGCAACCATGTTTTAATTTTTTTTTACATTTTTTCATCAATATATCAGGATATCAGTGTCCCAACACTACCAAGTGCCACTTTTGCATAACTGGCGATTTTCAGTTTGCTGTGTTTGGCTTCCGAAATCTGATTACATGATCTGATTGACTGAGCAGTGGTATTCCACCCTTTTTTAGGTTCTTGAAACTGTTGTGACTCCTTTTGGTCTGTCATGTCCGGTATTACATGCTTGGACTTGCAGTGGCTGTTCCATCTCTCAGGGGAGGTCCTTACTAAGGCTACCTCCTGTCCTTTAAAGGGCCTCTTCACACATTCTTTTTTTGTGGGGGGTAGGTGTATATGTAATTGGTTTTTAAGCATACCCCTAAAAATATAAATGCATGAATGCAACAAAAGAATGTTTGAAAATTTGACTAAACGTATGCTCCACAGGAAGCTGTGATTGACAGAGACTTAATGTTGAATATTTATTCCAAGATAAATGCAGGTTGGATGCTATATAATGTGTGAAATAGTCCTTTAGCTGGAGACAAAAAAGGCTGAATTTTAGATTTTCAGCATGCAAATCATGGGCTCTTACCACCATGCTATGACATGTAGGATTGAGAGCCTTGCGATCCTTCCTCTGTAGAACTGATATAGTTTCCAGTGTGCAAAACTGCACATCAGCCAGTACTGATAACTACTCTGTTACTAAGCCTGTATGAAAGACATCCAGTTTCACAGGCTCTCCCTTTCCTCAGATTCCACCAATCAGTACATCCGTGGTCGTGGAGATGTGGTGCCTGTGGATGGCATCTACCCATCAGGACTACACTCAGCGTTGGTGCTAATAGGGGTATACAACCGGCACTCAGGTGAACCTGTTCTAGGCATCATCAATGAGCCATTTTTCCAGGAACAGCTGCCAGAGCATAGGTAAACAAACTCTGTTGTCTATCAACCAGATTCTCTAGTTCTCAAAAAAAAAAACCCAGCCTCTAATTCTCACATTACAGAGAGTCAAGAATGCAGTGAGCACAGAAGGCAGCCACTCAGTGGTAGTTCCTCCTTTTTAAGTGCTGGATCTATTCCTAAGAGACCAGAGAGTTGCTTGGCTGTTCCTGTGAGGAATCCAAAGATCCTTTGAAGAATGAGGATCCTCTATGCCCTGCAGCACTGGAAATCTCCTGTGTTTAGTGGGGAAAAGCAGTAGCAGAAAGTACCTAATCTGCTAGCAGATGCTGTTTAGAGGGCTACAGAGGAAGCATGTAAAACTTTTGAAAGGGAATGTAGGGATACACACACAGGGGTGGAAAATGGTCAGTAAAATCAGTAAAAGTCAGTTTTTTCATCTTGGTCAGTAATTTGTCAGTTTTTTAAAAAATTGGTCAGTAAAGTCAGTATTTCTTTGATTTTTTTGAATGTAGTGTGTGTTTTTCCATTTTCATTACTGCATTTTTGGGGGAACATGATGACTTCCCAGTGAGAAGACAGATTGTTTTCAGTTTAGTTATGAAGTACTTTAAGGACTTTGTTCCTAAGAGTAAAAGTGGTTTGGTGAAATCTTCCACAAAGTATAGAAACATAATTAACCCCTTAAAACATGAGACAATGAAAGTCGAGGTGATGGATATTGTGGGATTCAACATGGCCCAGCTCATGCTGGAAGGAGTTGAGAAAGCAATGGAAGAAGAGGACAAGGGGAAAAATGCTTGTGGATGCAGTGCAGAAAACTGTTGAGAAATGAAAGAGTTCGTGAATAACTTTATTAATTTATTTATTCAATTTATACCCCACCCTCCCTGCTGGAGCAGGCTCAGGGGGGCTTACAAAGAGATTAAACATATAGGTAACAAATTATATACAATCTTAAAACAAATAATAATACTCTACATTATCGTAAAATGCTAGTAAGTGATCAGGTACTTAGAACAATGCTTACAGAAGGCAGAACCAATACTAGTGTCGTAATCAGATGATCTATATTGGTGGTTGGCTCATCTTAGTCTCTGTATTTAGGCAACAGCACAGGCTGTTAGTGGTAAGCCAAGGACCAGGGCACTGTCACTTCTCAGTTATTTGATATTATTTGGTGTGGCTCCTTAGTCAAAGGCCTGGTGGAAGAGCTCCATCTTGTAGGCCCTGCGGAACTGTAAAAGGTCCTGAGGCCCCTGATCTCTTCTGGGAGCTCATTCCACCAGTACGGAGCAACCACTGAGAAGGCCCTTGCCCTGGTTGTGGCCAGCCTGGCATCTTTAGGACCTTGGAGGCCAATCAATTTTGTGACCCTGAGCGCAGTGCTCTCTGGGGAACATGTGGGGAAAGGCGTTCCCTCAGGTATGTGGCAATGTTCCCTCTAAGGCGTGCAGTCTCGTGAGCAGAAATTTTACCCTGTGAGCCAAAAGTGGTGCTAGGTTTAAAACTATGAGCAGGCCAACATTTAAAAAATATATATTTCAGTGTACAAACATACAAAACATACAGATATAACATATATACTACTATTTTGTATTTTTGTATTCCAAGCCATATATTTATATTCAACTTATTTATACTTATATGGAACATACTATATGACTCTTTCAAACTATATTTTAGAAATGATTTATACATCATAGCCATTAACAGTATCATCAAGTTAGCTGTCATCCTAGCCTCATGCCTTAGCCTTATCTCCCCCCCTTCTAATAATAAAGCATACACATCCTCTGCCTGCCAACTCCAGAGTGATCAGCCATGGTATTTTATTTTAATTAAAAGCCAACGCTGAGAATGCTATTTGAAAATCATTAGCCAACTCTGTTCAAATTGGGGAAATGCCCTCTTCACAGTGAGATTGCTGCATTATCGAGAAAGAGAGAACATGAGAATGCATTCTGTGGCAAGGTACCAACAAGGCTCACTGGCAGCTAAATACCAGTGGCAAAAGGGATAGCATACAAGGAAAGCATATAGGTCTGGGGAAGGAGATTTGAACTGAGAATCCTGGAATTTACAGAGCTATTCTGAACTGAAATTGTACAGGAGCATTTATAGCAGATTGAAAAAAACCACAGGAAAAATATAAGGTGCATTACTGCTTTTTGCTAAAGCTTGACTTGGAGGAGGGAGAAACTTACCCATGGCCTGTGGTTCCGCACGGATCCCAGCCTGGGTGCTCCAGCCAGGGCCAGTACCAGGTTTTTTTGTGCAGTAGGTGAGGCTACCTTCTGGCACAGACACACACACCTGTGCGCCCACCAATTTTCAAACAAGGAAGAATAAAAAACACAAAATTTGAAATTGCTAATTTCTTTTTTTTTTTTTTAATCGTGAGAATAAGTAATACAATCTCTGATTTTCCCCACCTCACTGGTATGTGCTTCTAAACCAGTTTGGTGCAGTGGTTAAGAGTGGAGGACTCTAATCTGAGAACTGGGTTTAATTCCCCACTCCTCCATATACATCCAGCTGGGTGGCGTTGGGCCAGTCACAGCTCTGTCACAGCAGTTCTCTCAGAGGCCTCTCAGTCCCACAGGGTGTCTGTTGTGGGGAGGAAAGGAGATTGTAAGCTGCTCTGAGACTCCAAGTCTGAATAAAGAAGATGTGTAATACTTGGAGGTTGGATGGCTTGGCCCTGACTTGAGCATCAGAGAGACTGTTGAATGGGGCTTGTTCCTGGGCCATTTAGACTTTCCAGTCAGCCTGCTTCTCTTATACACAGAGAAGTCACCCACAGGGATACACAGAAGGGGTTTCTTTGTGAGAAACAGCCAGAACTGTCAGGAGGCCCTCTTCTGAAAGTCTTCTGACTTCTTCCCACAGAGAGAAAATGTCTGCATAACCCCCACCCCAGTTAGTGATGCCACCCTCCAGATGGGACCTGGGGACCTCTTGGAATCACACCTCATCTTGACTACAGAGATCAGTTCCCCTGGAGAAAATGAATGCTTTGGAGAGGGGAGTCTATGGTATTGTGCCCCCCTCAGATCCCTGTCCATCCCAGGCTCCATCCCCAAATCTCCAGGAGTTTCCCAACCTGAAGTTGGCAACCCTACTCCCCCATCCCCTTCCAGTGGCCAGGGGGGACCTGGCAACCCTATGCCCAGTATTACATAGGGCAGAGCGGTGAGAAGACCAAGCCGGTCTCTGAATGGGTTATTGCATTGTTTTCCTGGTGCCCTGTCACCTTAAATATAGAAATGAACCCAGATCTGCACTCCCGTTTAAAATAAAGCCAGGCCACCTGCCCAGGCTCCAGCGCAGCCAGGGAACAAAGCAGGTAGCCACCAGGATCCCGGCTTCTTCTGTGCACTCAACCACCAGCGCCAGAAGCTGCCGAGGGGCTTCTTGCTGCTGCAGCGAGGGCGCCCCGCCGGAGCCAGCCCCGTACTAAAGGGGTGCAGGAGGGCAGGGAGAGGAGAGGAGGTGAGCCAGGTGGCGGAGGGATGGGAGCTGCCCATGGGCGAGCCGCAACAGCGGCGCTTCACCGAGGAAAGATGACAAGAGCGGCGCGAGGGGGCTCTTTGTGCGGTGGCGCATCTCTTCCTACCCAGGTAAGAGCAGGAGAGGGATGGATGGATGCACAGGTGCCCCATGCTCTCCCCCGCTTCTCCTCATCACCTTTTGCTCGCCCGCCTGCTGCGCTGTAAAGATGCACCTTGGCCCCGGCCTGCATGGCCATTGGGAATGGAACTTCCCGCCCCTGCGCTATGAAAAAAATTGCTGCACTGATTGGGGGAAATTGGTGCGCCGGCGCAGCCTGACGCAGCTAAAAGGGAACCTAGGTATGTGGGCCCCTGACCATAAAGGGCTTTAAAGGTAAGTACCATCACCTTGAAGGGAACTGGATATGCTATCAGCAGCCAGTGCAGTGCTTTCAGAACAGGCTGCTCCCACATAGGAGGCCCATCAGAAACCTAGTTGCAGCATTTTGCAATAGCTGTAGCTTCTGGATTTGGGTCAAGGGCTGCCCCATGTAGAGAGCCTTACAGTAGTCCAATCTTGAGGTGACCATTGCATGGATCTCTGTCGCCAAGTCGTTGCATTCGAGGAAGGTAACCAACTGCCTAATCAGCCGGAGGTAGTAAAAGGCTGATTTGGCAGTGGCCACTACCTGGGCCTCCATTGATAGTGAGGCATCCAGGAGCACTCCCAAGTTCCTAACCTCTGGCTCTGGCACCAATGGCGCCCCATCAAAGGTTGGAAGTAGGATCCCTACCTTCAGGCCGGCCCGGCTCAGGCACAGGACCTCCGTCTTCGTTGGATACAACTTCAGTTGGCTCAATCTGAGCCAACCGGCCACATCTTGCGATGCCCAGTCCAGATCTTCCGGTGTAGAGTCAGACTGACTGCCCAACAACTGATAAAGCTGGGTGTCATCTGCATACTGGTGACATCTCAGCCCATGCCTCTGGGCAAGGGGCCGCATGTAGATGTTAAATAGCATTGGGGACAGCACTGCCCTTGGGGGCACTCCACAAATCAGTGGGTACCTTTGGGATAGCCGCTACTCTAGCACCACCCTTTGTCCCCAGCCCTGAAGGAAGGAAGCTAGCCATTGCGAGGCAGGTCCCTGGACTCCAGTGTCGGCGAGGCGGTGGATCAGTAACTGATGGTCGACCATGTCAAATGCCGCCAACATGTCCAACAGCAACATCACTGCCAATCTGTCCCGATCCAGATGCCTCCAGAGGTCATCTGTGAGGGCAACCAGTGCTGTCTCTGTCCTGTGGCCTGGGCGGAAACCGGACTGGAAAGGATCTAGAATGGAAGTATCATCCAAAAAGCTCTGTAGCTGAATTGCCATGGCCCTCTCAATTATTTTGCCCAAATAGGACAGATTGGAGACCAGCCGGTAATTAGCCAATTCGGCCAGATCCAGAGATGTCCTTTTCAGGAGGGGATGAACCACAGCTTCCTTGAGTGCCCTAGGGAACTGTTGCCTCTTGTTGATAATCTCCCTTAGGGCATCTCGAAACCCATCGTGGTTAGCTTTAATTAGCCATGATGGGCACGGGGTCAAGGCAGCACGTGGTACGGCATACAGCTAAGAGCAGTTTGTCAACTTCCACCAGCCTGAGTGGACTGAAATAATCCATAACCTGACTAGAAGACTTGCATGGAGCCTTGAGTTCACTTACTGTCTCAACTGTGGTGGGGAGGTCACGGCAGAGCGACAGGACTTTATCTGCAAAGTAGCTCTCAAAGGCCTCACAGCCAGTGTCCAGTTCCCTAACATTTGGTCTGCCTTGTGGCAGAACAGTCATAGACCGAATTATTCTAGATAATTGGGCTGGGCATGAGCTTGCAGACACAATCGTGGCCACATAATACTCTCAGTGGCTTTGACTGCCATCTTTGACTGTAAACCAAGGAGCCAGCCTAGGGTGAGGGCACAGAGGACATCGGGGAGCGATCTCATCGATGGCTGCTGAGAGTCAGCTGTGCCAATCCTCCACAAGCTCATCTAATGAGCCGCCAGGGGGCATCGGATCCCGCAGGGCAAGCTGAAATCTGCTCACCACCCAAACAGGGTTGGGGTGAAACATTCATATGGGCCTTCAGAGCATGATGGTCCGACCATGGCACTGCTCAGGCAGTGACCCGGTCCACTGTGACCCCTGCCGTGAAGATCAGATCAAGCGTGTGTCTGGTCCAGTGAGTGGGAGTTGTTACATATTGGGAGAGTCCCAGTGCCGCCATGGATGATACCAGGTCCGCTGCCAGAGTGGAGGTTGCGTCTTCAGCATGGACATTGAAATCATGCAGGACAGTCAGTCTAGGGTGTTCCAATGGCCTCCACCAGGGATGGCAGGCTGCTGGCCGGTTCTTTTTTCATCAAAAAACCAAAGATAAAGTAAAAGCAAAGACAAGTCTTACTTTGCAGTATGTGATTATTTTTATTTTATTTTTACGTTTAAATTTTTTATTTTTTAAAAAAGAATATAACACATCATTGCATTTCATCAACTTTTGTTACATTACATATCAGAGTCCTTCTTTCAGTTGATTAAGTATCTAGTTGGTAATATTACATTCATAATACCAGTCTGTGGTAGAACTTTTCTATTATATTTCTAACTGATCTTCTATCCACTTATATACATTCTTCCATCTCCTTTTATGTACCTTCTCACTTTTGTTTTGCAACCTTAAACTTAAATCATCCATTCTGGCTAGTTCTAGTACTTTAATTAACAAATCTTCCCTGGTAGGTACGCTGTCCGTTTTCCATTGTCGAGCTATTAACAATCTGGCAGCCGTTATAACATAGCTAATTAAATATGCATCCTGTTCATTATACCCTTTCGGGATCATATTAAGCAGATATATCTCTGGTTTTAATGCCACATTTTCCCCCAGACTTTCTTGGATTGCTTCCCTGACCAACATTTATCTGAGTATAGTATGTGATTATTTTTTCATGAACAGAGGACAATGTTTTCACTATTGTACAAGATGTAAGGCAAAAAAAAGATTTCCTTTTAAAAATAATCAGTATGTGGTTATTTTTAAAAGGAAATCTTTTTTTTTGCCTTACATCTTGTACAATAGTGAAAACATTGTCCTCTGTTCATGAAAAAATTCAATAAAAAGGTGTGCAATCCTTTTATCTGGGTCACATCTAACTATGGGGCTGGTTATGGGGATGGTGGAGGCCAAATAATAATTTTTAATGAAGTCCTAGTTTTACATTTAAAATGCTAGGCTGACATTAAATTGTTCAGTAATTTGGCAGTATTTGGTCAGGTTTGTTTTTTAATTTTGGTCAGTAAAATCAGTATTTTTGACCCTCTGACTAGTTTCTACCCCTGACACAATAATTCCATTCAAATGGGCAGAGTCCTCATAAAAATCTCACACAGCTGAATTAATTGTGGTACAGAATGAAACCGAAGGATGCCAATAGTACTGTTGTGGGAGATGATGCCCTTCAAGGAGAAGAAACCACTCAAATTCTCAAGACGGAAAAGATGAGGAAATGACTGTACCTCTGAGGAAGTGAAAGAACTTATTCTGTGCAGTAAGGCCATCAAGAATGGAATGGTGGAATCACTGGAGGACGTTTAAACAGGAGAGAGAGCCCATGCAGCAAAAGAAGTGGGGAGGCTGCCAAGAGGAAGAAGTAGAGAATTTTCTAAGCGAGTTTTCTCCCAGTGCTATTTAGATAAGAGAATACAGCTTTTGTGAATGGGCAGGGAAATGGGAGGCTGATATAGACCTGATTTAAGCATGAGGCTGGCAGAGCAAAATGATTCACCTGTGGAATTTTACACCTGTCCAGCCTCTGGTTTAAACTCGGCTGCTACCTGTGCAAAACAGCCACATGTGCTTAGTTAGCATGCTAGAGCCTGGTAGTCTTGGTGAGTATTGCACAGCCAGACTACTTAATACGTGTAGCTGCCTTGCCCATGAAAGAAACCCAGTTTAAACGAGAGTCCCTGTGAGTACAAAGGTTTGCCATAGTCAGGTCCCTGGAGGAACAGAGACTTTGTCAAAGAAGGAACTGAACTGGGAAAGTGATGATGAGGAATTTCCTCAACTTTCTGAGAAAGATCCTAATCCTGATAAGAAAGTTGAGTTCTCCCTGGCTCTAGTCAAGGTGTTCAGTATTAACTCAAATGAGGACTATGGTAGGCATAAATCTTGTGGTTGTTTCAGGCAAGTGGGAACTTAAATGATCAGGTCACTGAGATTAACGGTATAGAAGTAATCTTTTATGAGAACCTACTCTTAACACAGAGTCAGTGTGTGGTAGGAGCTGGGCTAGCATCTGGGAGGATCAGATTCCCCCCCCCCCCCATACAACATAAAGCTTGCTGGGTGACCCTGAGCCAGTCCCTCTCGCTCAGCTTAACCGACTTCACAGGGTCATTTTGAGGATAAAATGGGGGAGGGTGAAGCTTCCCTGTGCTCTGTGGAGGAAGAGTGAGATAAAATACTCCAGCTAGACAAGATGCATCGAATCTGAGTTCCATTTTGATCGGAATGTGTCAGTTGCTTTAGCTTATAGAGGTTCCAGCATTGTTTGAGCATATTTTATTCTGAAGTTAAGAATGTACAGATGATTCTTCATGAACATGCATTGAAGAGGGTGCATGGAATGGAGACACGGAGAAAGACAGAGGGCTGGGAGGCAGAGGCAGGCTATCGAGACACTTCTCTGAACGTCCTCCATGCCTCGGTAGGAGTAGCCAGAGGTTGCCATGATTTTCAGGCAGGGACACGTACACATGCTCACACATAAAATGTAATTTAAAAAAAAAATACTGTGAAACTCCACCCATTACGACTGCTTCTAAGATGAGATGCACTCAGACCTCTGATTTGTAAATTATTGCTTCGGTAATGTTTGGAACACTTCTGTTATCAAGATGAGATTGCATTTAGCTTTCATGTATCTTATGAACACAGTGCATTGCCGTTTTGGATTTCTGCTTTCCACCCATGCAGCTCTGGTAAGCACTACAGAGCCACTAATGTGGACCTGTATTAAGATCTCACTGAGAAAGAGGGGCAAGCACAGCTACTTCAGCCAAGTCCCAGCCAGCCCTCCCAGTCTCTTTCTTTTTCCTGCAGGTGGCAAAGCAGATATCACTGGGGCATCTCCTATGGAGACACCAAGCTGAGCTCGCTGAGCCGGCCCCTGCCTCAGGCTCCCCCCCGCGTGGTGCTGAGCAGCAGTGAGAAAGGGGTGCTGCAGAAGGCCCTGGGACCCCTATATGGTGAGCAGTTCTGCTTTGCCTCAGGTGCTGGGTATAAGATGCTGTGTGTGGCCCTGGGCTTTGCAGATGCCTATGTGCTTTCGGAGGGCAGCACCTTTAAGTGGGATTCGTGTGGTCCCCACGCTATCCTTCGGGCCCTCGGTGGGGGCATTGCTGATTATGCAGGGGCATTGCGTGCTTGGCGCGCTGGCCAACGTGACTTGCTGCCTGAACTGACCTACAACAAGCCGGAAGAGGGCGCCACGGGTGCTGATCAGTGGGCCAACCGTGGCGGTGTCATAGCCTATACGCACCATGACCATCTTGAGGCTGTCGTGGACACCCTGGCAGCTGCAGTGGATGTCGTTTGAGTTCCTCCTCCATATATATGGGTGTGGCTTGGCTCGGACGTTCACATCTGCAGGAGGGGAGGGAGCCAGCCGGCTGGTCAGGGACTGTATGACTTGGACTTACCCCTGAACTGCGGGACCGATCAGTTATAGATGGATTGAACCTGCCAGCATGGGGGCTCAGTTGGAGAGAACATTGCGACTTTTAATTTACACAACCCTTTGGCCTTTCAATGCTGAGTCAATGAAGGTTTGACTTCCAGTGCAGTGCAGATGGGAGAAGGTTAAAAATTTTCCCCCATCCTTATTGGTATTTTGCTCTCCTAAATGAGTAATATGTGTTACGGGTAATGCAGTGAACATGTCTTGAGGCTGGAATTGCCAACTGCCTGGAGAAAAAAAATTCCGGTCTCTTTAACAGAAGCTTAATGGTATGTTAACTTACCAGATGGTGCTGTTTACCTGCATTCCATGAAAAGGTTAAGGTGCCGATTTCTACATATTTAGCCTCTATTAAACATTTTTTTCTCCAAGCCTGCTGGCAACCCTGCCTTGGACCCTTCAATTACTTCCACTATATTTCCTGCAGCCTTCCGTGTCTCAGACATCATGCATGGAGGGCTATGGCTGTCACCTCAAACAATTTGCTGCACAGACACATTTTCTGTGGTGCATTTGCTCACTTCTTCTGACATTGGCTCTGGACTATGTAGCTAGATCTGTGAGGGACTAGAAAATGGAAGGTCCTTGTTAATGGGGCTTGGATTCAACACAGCATTTCTGCAGTTAGAACAGCTTCTGCCCATGCAGCATGACTTTCTTGCTTCCCTCTTCTCACTGCAGATTAAAACTTCCTCCTGAAATGCCACTCCTTAGGGCAGGGGACCCCCAGAAAGAGAATGTGGGGCTATAGTGGAAAGTAAGGTAGTCATTTTCCACTGGAAGGAACTGTTCCATCTATGGAAATGTTCCATTGGATCCAAAGCCTAGGGTTGTAATTAGGGTTGCTAGCTTATGACTGGTTATGTTTTCTATATTGTCTGTATACTAATATAGTCCTTTTGTATGCTTATGACCTGTTGGTCTTCGAACATTAATAAAGGACTGACTGGCTTATGACTGGCAGCTAAAGGACAACAGAAAGCTGTAATCAAGCGCTATACGCAAAAACTTGGAAACGGTATAACAATATATTCTTACAACAAGATAACTAGAACGTGTATAAAGTGCAAAAAGGGGTCCATATACAATCATAATAGTTGTTGTTGTTGACGAAGTTCTCTGGAATGTCTATTCGTTTCGTGAGGACTTCATCCGAACGGGACCATATTAACAATATTGTGTCTCTTGTTTCTCTATTCATCATTGAATGAATTTACAATGTTCTTGTTATCTCACAGACAATTTCCTTACTTATCCTATTAATACATAGTGTATTCTCAGCAGGCAATCTGGCTAGAGACGCTCAAGCCTTTGAGCGTCTCTATCCAGATTGCCCGTTGAGAATACACTATTAATAGGATAAGTAAGGAAATTGTGAGATACCGTTTCCAAGTTTTTGTGTATAGTGCTTGATTACAGCTTTCTGTTGTCCTTTAGCTTTGATGTTTTGAGCTGTGACTTTCAGGTCTAGTATTATGACTGGCAGCTGGCAGGAGATTGATGAATGGGTGGGGAGGGTCTCACCAATAATGAAGTAGCATCGTCAGGACACCAGTCAACTCCTATGCCCTCCCCCCCCCTTTTTTCCAGCTGCCCAGATGAATAGTAGAGGAGGGAGTGGTTGGGGGGAAGGAGGTCTATATTTAAAACAACTTTCTAGCCCTCATGGAAATACATTTGAAAATATGCAGATGATGACAGCAACATAATCTAGAGATGGAGGGAAGAGAATATGGCCATAATTCCTCCTTTATTGCCTTAGGGCTATCTGTATCTCTGATAGTACTAAATCACAAATTGTACCAAAAACACACAAATACTTGCATCAGAATAAGAAAATTTCAGGTCTAGTTTATGCAAAGATACTTACAGTGGACATAATATACTCAAAGTGCAAAATGTAAGTTTTTTGGCACACAATGTCCGTTTTTTTTCATTTTATACAGTAACTATGTTGATTGCGACAATCAGTGTTTTAACAGAAAAAGCTGTATGTGATTTTTTAAAGTCTGTATATCTGGACTTTTAAATACAGTATAACATTCCTGTAATTAATAAACATCTCTACTTTTTATGTGTTTATCATGTTTCTGAGAGATCATTGGGGGAAGACACCTGTGTGACTCTGGATCCTGCTGAGCTGACAAGAAGGCAATTCATCTTTTGGCCAACAACAAAATGCTGACCTGCAGCAAAGCAGGAAGAAGGGGCAAGACTAGAAACTACAATTCCCACACCAGAACAAGAACAGGGTATTAGGATCCTCCCAGCTGCCCTGGAATCAACACCAGCTGAAGGGGCAGTAGGGAAAGGCGTAGCATTGTGAATAGGCATAAGCATGACATTCTTATCATATTTTATCTTCAGAACAGCAACCTTGTGAGGTAGGTGAGGCTGAGGGATTGTGATAGGATTCAAACACAATTCTCGCAATCCTGACTAACCACTACACTGTACCCAAAGGTGCAGATTCAAGCTAGCTAGAAAGCCCAGAATGGTGTCCCAGGCCCAGCTGAACATAATCACTTGGAATAGGTTTAAAGGTGAAGGTTTCCCTTGCTCAAAAGCCAGTCTAATCTGACTCTAGGGTTGCAGTGCTCATCTCCGTTTCCAAGCCAAAGAGCCAGTGCTGTCCAGACTTCTCCATGGTCATGTGGCCGGTGTGACTGAATGCCAAGGCGCATGGAATGCTGTTACCTTCCCACCGAAGCAGTACCTATTTATCTACTTACAGTTTCTTGCTTTCAAACTGCTAGGTTGGCAGGAGCTGGGGCCAGAGAGGGGAGCTCACTCTGTCATGCGGCATTAGGGTCTCAAACAGTGTTCCCTCTAAGCTGAGTTAGTGTGAGCTAGCTCACAGTTTTTTAGCCTCTGGCTCACACATTTCTGTCTTAGCTCAGGACAGGTGGCTCCAGAGCAAAGTAATTTATGCAATAGCCAAATTGCTGGCTCACTACTTTAATGCTAGTAGCTCACAAAGTAGAATTTTTGCTCACAAGACTCCTCAGCTTAGAGGGAGCGTTGGTCTCAAACTGCCGAACTACAGATTGCCCGGTCAGCTGCTCAGCATCTTAACCTCTGGGCCACAGTGGCTACTCGTGCCAATTAGTCCATCATTTTGGCTGGCAATCCCACCCCCAGGCACCATCTCCCTGTCTCACACTGAGCTCACGATCACCCCAGCAATTTTTGTGCTCCGTCTGTTGCCTCCCCTTCCAAGCACATGTGATGCAGGCTTCCTGGTTGATCAGCTGCCAGTATCTGGGGGAGCGTGCAGCCTGGTGACTCCCCTTTTGCATGAGCATACCAGTACACACATTGGACTACCTCCTGTATGAGCTACATGCAGAATTCGGCAAGGTGTGGGAATGGATCCTACCTATCGAATCCCAATGAAAGAGAGAGCTAATCAGCAACCCACACATTTATTTAACAGCATCAGGAATGCTGAGAAACTCAGATGACAGTGACAGCTGGCTGTCTTATTCCAGCAACATCCCTGAGCCTATGCAGGCTTAGAGCTGTCCCTATCACAGCATGCCCATGATGGGGAGAGCTGTGCTGGACAGTTGACAATGGTACAGGAGCTAGGCTATATCAAGAGAACTGGCGACCCCACAGCAGAGCAGCTGGAAGTGTAATGCTCATGGAGGCCATTGACCATGTTGCAGGCTTGGCAGATGGTTGGCATTGTACTGTGAATGAATCCACCATCATGAGCTCTTCTTTATTGGATGTATGCCTGCAAAGAGTATAAAGGAACAAGGCCAGCGAAGACTAGCAGCAAAGAGCAAGTGGGTTCCAGAGTTTTGCATGTGAAAACACACAAAGTTGCCTTTCACTGAGTCAGACCGTTAGTCCATCAAGCTCAGTAGAGGCAGAGGTCTTTTAACATGACCTATTTCCTGGTCCTTCCATGGTGCTGAGGCAGGGTCTGCAACTCCTCTCTCTACCTTATGGGGGAAGTTCCTACATGGTGAGCTACCAATCAGGCTGGAGAAAAGAGTGTGGTCCTTTTAGTGGATACTTAATGAGATGTTATTTACCAGGTGATATTTTTTACCTTCAGCTGCCCATTCCAAACTGGTTCCACTTCCACTGCACAATTTTTAATCTGCACTCTGCAGGTTTAGAATTAGTTATAAAAGAGAAACATAGAAGATAATAATACATGGTTAGACTTCTTGAGCCCCAGCCATAGGATGATTTATGAATCCAAATGTAATTAATCTTGTAAATGGCTCCTTCCCTTTAGAATTAGCCATGGGCTTTGAAATAGTCTTGTGCCAGTAGATGGCACCATTATATTTCTGACCAAAACTTCAATGTGCTAGCAGTTGTCTCGAGGGCCTCATGCAAAGGCTTACACCTTCTTATAGGCTTCTAAGGCCGCTGAAGTCAATGCTTTTAAAAAGGTGTGACTCTATTTAGGATTACACTGTTGATCATGTTAAAGTTTGGCTTGATTCCAGGTTAGTCTGTGGCATTTTCTGTTTACAATAGGAGGCCTCTGAGAAAGGTGGACACAACCAGATCTGCAGGTTATAAGAAAAGGATGCAGAAATCTTCAACAAGATATATTTATGGCCCAGATGAACAGAATCATCCTGTGTTTTTCCTACCAAGTTGATGGCTTTAGATTGAAATGCTACATTTGATTGTTTGAAAGTTGGGGTATATAACTATAGGGAAGGTTTTATCTGTTTTGTGAAAATGCAACATTTAATGCTATGTAGCATTCAGTATCCAGAGGAGCTCCATTTTGCTTTTGGGTTTTTTTTAAAACAAGTTGTGAATTTTCTAGACTGTGAAGATAAGCATGTGGAAAACTGCAAAAGAGATGATGAAGCCTTCCAAGTAAGTCAGAATACAGGACTTCAGTGCCCCCCATATCTTTTTTTTTTTTGCTGTCAAGTCACAGCTGACTTATGGCAACACCGTAGGGTTTTCAAGGGAAGAGATGTTCAAAGATTGTTTGCCATTGTTGTGGGGAGGGGAAGGGAAAGGAGTCTATCCCCTGCAGGTGGCCAGGTGGTGGGATGTGATGTCAAGTCACAAGTGACCTTTGGCAACCCTGCAGGGTTTTCACGGCAAGAGACCTTCAGAGGCTTGTTGTGGGGAGGGGAAGGGAAAGGAGACTGTAAACTGCCCTGAGACTCCTTTCGGCAGTGAAGGGCAGGGGTATAAATCCAATCTCCTTCATTGCCTGCCTCTGCATCACAACCCTGGTATTCCTTGGAGGTCTCCTACTCAAATATTAGCCAGGGCCAACACTGCTTAAATTCCAAGATCTAGCCTGGGCTATCCCGGTCAACCCCCCCCCCCCCAACTAACAGAACCAAAAAATAATAATATTTAAATCTGCTTAACTAGCACAATATCTGCATCCTGCAGGATTCAGGTTTTCTTGGCACAGAATTTTTTTAAAGAGGAGAAACATACCTACATATCTGTTAAATAACTCAAAGTTCCAGCCTTTCAGACTTTTATCGGGCACTGTCATGGAGGAAGATGTCCTTATTTCTTTAACATAGTATGTGGAAATGGGTAATTGATGCTTATCATTAAATAGAGGTACATAACATCACTTAGTAAATTAAGCCCGTGTTAAAAGAACAGGATATTTTTCTCCAGGTAGTTGCCAACCCAAGGCACTTCTGTGCCATGTTCTGTGATTCTGGCTGATCCAAATGATTGATTGTAAAATAAAGTGCTTTTTAGACTGGAACAGTATGACATACATTCAGCTTCTCAGCTAATGCAGATTAGTTGCCTCAAGTGGAAAAAAATGATTAAAAATTAAATGTTATAGATTTTATGCAAGCTTCTCACATTCTTACGGTTTGCAGCTGCAGCAGGGCCGCTTACAAAAGACTCAGGATAGAGAGGTTTTACCTTTTCCCCTTCCCACTACAGCCCCCTAAACTATGTGGGGATTATTCCATGCAGGCCCTGAGACCCTGGACTTAATCTGGGGTCGGAAATGGCT